AAAACACTGGTGCAGAGACAAAACAAATAAAAAATATAAAAAGTCAACAAAGAGGTTCTGTACTGGCCCTGATCCTACCCGTAAAAGGATCTGCTGACTTGTCACAAGAAGGTTCTGCCTGTCCCTTATCTAGAGACAGAGTGAAGATGGAGGAGATTCATGAAAGGAATCAAAGATGATTGATTCTCTTCATCTTCTAGGCTTGTATGATCTACTATATGTCAGGTGAATCTGGTCCACATTCATAGTTGCTATTACAACAATCTCTTCTATTTGCCTGCCATCTTAGTTTTCAAAACATTTTTACACATCTTATTTAGAAAACTGTCATCACTCTACCAATAGGGAAATCAGGCACAGAGATCAAAGATTCCCTTTGAGATAACAAAGCTATTTAAATGGTAGTGCTATGCCTTGGATCTACATCTTTTCTTTTAGTCCTACATTTTTTCAAAATCACATTAATGCTTCAGTTCCGACAACAAAGTATACTTCTAGAATGCAACTACTGTTATGATTTTCCTTTTATGTAGGAGTTCTGAAAGGCAGTTAACACCCTTAAGGGTGGACCAGAGTTGGGCCAGGGGTATTTTGAGGTTAACTTCAAGAGTGTGCCAAGGATACAGAAAGGAGTACAAGTACCAGAAACTCGGGCAGGCCCCTGGGCCATGCTGGAGGCACACTGTTCTAAGAAGAGAATGACTCATAGTTTATTGCTGGCCACAAATGAGACCTAAGACTCCATTCTCTTCCTGAATAGGTCATTCACCCTCCTCCCTGCCCTGCCAACCAAGAGCCACTTTCAGTTGTCATATTTAATTTGTTATGCCTCTTGTTCACTCACAGTCTCCACCATCCTACAAGCTTCCTCCCAAACCACATATTTCTTCTGGACCCCAAGGGAGAAAGTAAATAAACAAGAGGACCGGCTATTTAACACTAGCGATGACTACTGAGATAGCTAGTATTTTTTAAGGTCTTTGGCATTTTATAGATGAAAAATATCAATGGGATCCCTGCAAACAGGATCTGCAGCCAACATTTACTTAAAAGATGAGAAAGTGAGGCAGAGAAGTTGAGACTGTGCCCAATGCTACACAGAAGTCACTGCTGGATCTGGAAATAAACCTATGATTCCCGTGCCCCAGGCCACTTCTACCTAGAGCTTTTCTCTGTCTTCCCTGGAAGAATGTTTCTAGAAAGAATGTAACTGACTGGCTTTGCTTTTCCTAGGTGACAGCCCAGCGAGAGGAAAGTCCCCTGTGGACATTAGAGAAGCTTCAGAGTAAGATTGACAGGAGAGTTGCAAGCATCATCCTGCAAGCCCTACCTTCCCTATGCCGCAAAAAGCCCCAAATCTCGTCTCCTCTCTTCCTTTTCTCCTAAGATATGTAAAATGCGGCATAATACATGGTGCTAAAGGGAAGAAGAAATGTAACCAACTAGTATTTAAGCCAATGCAAAACTGACATAGGCTCCAGGAGAGCCATCAGTTAGTCTTTCGCACGTTCATACCTTCAAAATCTGAAAAGTTAGTGGTAAAACATATTGCCTTCGTTTACAGAAAAAATGCTTATTTCAAATTTATATGGACTCTGGTTGTCTATGTGAGTATGGGCACACATGGCCATCTCCCTATTAGATGCTGGATCATCTCTTTGGGTAACTAGACGCTCCTAAGGTAGTTCTTTCTCCACACTCACTTGATTTGGGAGCAGCTGACATCTCGACGGTTCAACACAAAGCCCTCGGCCTACTGCTGTCTTCCTGCCAGAAGACAAATATGTCAAGGGAGAGGAGATGTGAGCCTGCATTTCGATCCTTTTGAGTTAATTCTTCCCAAGGAAAGGCCAATTCCTCACCTTATCACTCTACATCATGTTTTCCTGTTCTGAAAACAAAGAAATGTTATTTAATGAGCCACGTTCAAAGCACACTCAAGAAATGAAAGCTACGCATTAAGAGGGCTTACTTGATTTGTAAATTGAGAAGACATAACCGCTATTTTGAATAAAATCAGTTGACAACTCACTGTAAAATGTAAGATCACAAAGCCAAGACAATGTAAACCACATGAGGAGATGAAAAGGGCCGCGAGGGGATCTTGGTTATTGAGGGGACCTTGGTTATTGAGAGCATGTCTGGAGAGCTCACACGACCCAACCCTAACAGTCCTTGTTAGCATATTTCTGAGTTTGATTTTTTTTTTAGGTTCAGCCCTTAAAGTCTCTTTCCCCTTCACTGGGGACAGGGATCTAGAACTTTTCCAAACACCTCCAGTTCTCTTTTAACTATCTTCTACAATTAAACTTCTAGTTCCGATCAGTTTTTTCCTTCTAGTTCCTAACCTGTAAAAGTTATGCCCCCCTTAAAGAAAACCTGGGAAACTGAAGGTCCGAATGTACAAAACAGACAAAATAGTGCTGATCCTTAACAGTAGATAAAAATCATCATTTTATGATTTACTGGTGTTCTTTAAAAATGAAAACTTCCCCAGAAACTCTGTGAGATTCACCAGAATGTCTTTATTTCAGCACTGTCTCAAAGGAAAACACCCAAAGACCCTTCTACAGTGTATATCGTTTTCCATGTTTGGAAATCTGAATAAAACTCACCTTTTTGAGAGAAAAATATGATGACTGCAAAGTACATAAATATTTTGAAAGCTGATTTCAAAAGTAGTTTTAGCAAACAAAAGAGACATCTTGTAGTGTCCATATATAACTTTTTATTAAGAAAATGAACAAAATACATTCTTTCTCCATATGTACATTACATACAACATAATTCTACAATTGCAATTGTCCAGCAGATCACTAATTATTCACAAAGCAGCGTTAACACATTCATCAAACCTGGGATCAGAAAATTACTTGTACTTAAAAAAACACACAAAAAACCCTAAGAGGTCCATACAGATTGAGCAAAGGTAAGTTAAACCAGAGAGGATCATGATGGAAATGGGGACGGCTGCAGAACAGTCAACACAGCTCAATGATGACTTAGAACAATAACGATACTCCAAAAGTACTTATATTTAAAACCTCCAACTAGACAGAGCTCACGCCAGCTGCTCCATCCAGGGTTCCCTCATGATTTCCATTGCTGACTTAGGTACCTCGGCAAACAGCCCTGACCCACCATGTTGCCACCAAAGAGGAAGGTGAACAAAAGAGTAGAACCCTGAAAGCCTGTAGCAATCTCCTTCAAATGCTGAGAAAAGGAGTCCTGTATGAAACACAAAACTTCTGAACCTCAGCTGGTGAGCAGAGAGATAACATTTTTTGGAGAGACATTTGCATAAGCATGATATGGGAATTCTTGTGTCAAGGACTTTTATGTTTCTTTTGTCTGTTTTCCTTTTCTCTGCTTGTCTTTTGGCCTTTCAAAAGCGCCTCATCCTTTTCCGGCATGGGTTTAATCATGGTCATATTAAAAAATACATCTAAACAGAAAGCTCTTCGTGAATGTGCTCCAAATGTCCATAATGGTGCACAAAGGGCTGAAAATTCAAATGAGTCTTAGAGGTGAAATTTCCCATGACCTGAAAGAGGCAGTGCCCTATAGCTTCTGGGGAGTAGTACCTTACACCCACGATTCAGGCTTAGAAGATAGAAATCAACAGAATCATCTCCAGACTGCATGTCCGGAAAAGTGCAATGCTTAAAGGAATATAAGTAAGGGTAGGGACAATGCTTACACCCTGGTCCTCCACACATGTGGTTAAAAGACAATGAGAATGGCTGTGTTAAATTTTTTTTTTGCTTTTTCTGGCCTTTACCAAGCTGGTTAACGGAAATCAGGAAAAATGAGTCTCATCAGTTAAATAATAGTGGTTTTCCTTCTTTACAATTAGTTATTTCCTGAATTTCTAGAATAAAAATATTTTTATAATCACAAAAATCAATAAATGGTTATTATTTAAAAGTTTCAAAAAAGCTGTTTAACCCTCTCCAACTGTCAGATGAGCTGGTTGCTGCAACAGCATGTCTCCAATCCAGGAGATGCTGTAACGAGGAGCCGCCAGCGTTAACAAGCAGACTCGGAAAGACTGCCTCTTGGCTAAAGATGGAGCTGTATTTTCCTTCTCAGTCTAATTTCCGGTCCAACTTTGGTTTTGAGGATCTATCTTTATCTGAAGGGGTCTTAATTTATGGCCATTGAGTACTTCTAATTTATAAGAGAAGTAAAAGACTTGACTTAAAAAAAATTCTAACGTCTTTCCCAAGCTGCTTTATATACATATGCCAGTGTTCACTGCTACAACCAAGACAAGAAGAGGTCCTCATCTTAGCTTTCCTGTACTCTTCTTCCAAGGCTGCAGACTTCGATTTTGAAGTGGTGACAGGGAAGAAACCTCTTAAAAGAGAAAAACATATATAGCTGACCCTTGAACAACATGGGAGTTAGGGGCCCTGACCTGCTGCCCAGTTGAAAATCCAAGTATAACCTCTGACTCCCCCAAAACATAACTACTGATAGATAGCCTACTGTTGACTGGAGGCCTTATCGATAACATAGTGGATTAACACGTATTTTGTGTTTTATATGTATTATATACTGTGTTCTTAC